AAGAGTTGCCTCCGGGAGATGCTCCTTCCTCCAGGAAGTTTTAAGCAGCAGACAGGCACATGGCTTTGCCAGCTGTTTTGGAGATGGAATGACTCTGTTTGGCTGTAACATGATATGCACATGGGACAAGTCTCCTCTTCCTTGATCAGAGCACTTCCTGTCTGGCATGTCCGGTGTATCTGCAAGTGGTGCGATCCTGTGTCCCTTCAACTTCTGCCTGCCTCAGCTATACCACAAGCTTACCATACAACCTGGTGCTTTATGGGAAAAAAACAAACAAACCAGTGCACTCATTCATTAGGCAAAGTCCCTGTGAAGATCAATCTGGCTACTTGTGCAAGAGCCATGACTTTGTTCACACTCTCCTAATTTAACCTGGTTGTTTTCAGGTCTGGGGCTCATCCCGAAAGTATGATTCAAAGGGAAGAAAAATATTCACATTAAAAACATTTAGAGTTGCATTAAGTGTGGCACACTGCTCATGTATCCCCCTGCAAGAGAGAAACTGAGGAGTGAAGTTTGCTGACGGCCTTCAGCTGCTGCCTACGTGGGATCTGCGACAGCATTTGCTCCCCAAGCTTCTTCTAGAAGACTGGAAGAAGCTTCTCTTAGAAATAGCTCTCAGCTAAAGCTTGGAGGATGAACAGGACTTGCTCAGACACCGAGTGCATAGATAACAGCAGCGTCAGTCACAAGCTAGTCTGGACGCAGGGTTCCCTTCTCTACCTTGGGTTATGCTTTCACGGGATCCATCTTTCCCACAAACGATCTACAAAGGTTCCCGCATCCTGAATCTGTCAAAGACCTCTTGTAAATCCCCTGGATTCTTAGAATAGGCTTGGTAAGTGTCAGTATAATGAACAAGGCCATCTGTCATCGCCTGGATGAGTTGAATAAAGAGAAAAAGGAAGGATAGACTTTGAACACTGGAGAATCTAGGCCAGCAGAAAAACTTATCAATTCGGCTTTGGCACAAATATCTCAGGTTCCAGGTAGAGAACTGTCATTCCTACTTGCTTTCCTGTCCAGAGGAGGACGATTAAAACTAGGCTACCTGTCCTCCAGTACCTCACACTTCAGTGGGTCCTTGGTTTACATGAAAACGGGCACCAGATGCTATGGGAGCCCAAAGGATAGGATCAGAACATGGGGAGAGGGCAGTAGAGCATTCTGGAAATTAATCCATAGACTCTGGAGTCTTCCAGTATTGGATTCTATCTACAGCACATTCACCAGGTGGTGTCTGCTTGAACAGCTTGAGTTACAGGAAAATCACTGTCTTTGAACACAACCCAGTTCTGCTGGTAGGAATTGGTCTCCTGATGACTTCACATTCCAATATCAGATTTGGAGACACAGAAAAATTCTACCTCTAATTTCCATCTCACCAAGCTTCCAGTGGTTGAAGAATAAACAATCTCTTATGTAATAATAATTATTATTATTTATCCAACCCCTACTATATATGAACTACTGCTAGACACTTAAGATGGTATCCAATTTAATCTTTGTAACCTCCTGGTGAGAAAGGTCCTGGTGTTCTCACTTTAGAGTTGATGACACTGAGGCTTAGAGGAAACGAGGAACTTGTAATTAGTAAATGATGGGATTGTGGTCACATCTGGGTTTGTGTGGCTTCACACCTTGTACTCTCTACGCTGTCACTCTCCATGTCTAGGATAATTAAAGTTGGAGAAAAGTGATATGGAGGGGGAAGATCTTTGAAAGGAAAGAACACATTTTAGCTGTTGAGGAAGATGTGAGGTTAAAAAGAATTTGTGTTATTTTTGCAATTGAACTTGACTTCCTTTGAGTCTAGGATGAGAAAGCCATTGGATTTAGAAGGTTGGTGGAGGAAGTGGAGACATGTGTGGCGCCTGAGCCCCTCGCTCTTCTGTTGTTAGCGTCATTGTTCCACGTCAGATCTGGAGTCAGACTCGGGGTCTGAATCCTGGCTTGGCCGCTTGTCAGCTGTGAGCCCAGAGGTAGCTTACTTAACTTCCTTTGCCTCAGTGTCCCGATCTATAAAATGGGGAACATAATCGCACTTGCTGTTGTAAGCATCAAACAAGAATATACACTCAAAAGGATATTTAGCACATGGTAAACCCACTATAAATGTCAGCTATGATGACTGCCACCTCCCCAAGGTAGTGTCAGAGTTAGGTGGGGTTGAGAACTGAAGTGCAGTGCTTTAACTGGGGGGGGGGGGAGGGGAGTAGACATACAGACCTACTGCAACGAGTATTGTTTATTCCAGTTGCTGAATTTTGGCATTTTAAAACTCTTTAAATGATGGTAAAACACACAACATCAAATTTATCATCTTAACCAATTTAAAATGTACAGCATTGTTAAGTACATTCATGTTGTTGTGCGAACAACCTCCAGAACACTTCTCACCTTGCAGAACTGATACTCTATACCCACAACTCCCCCTTCCCCAACCTTGGTAACCACCTGTATACTTTCCGTCTTTATAAATTTGACCAGTCTAGATACCTCAAAAAGTGGAATCATGCAGCATTTGACTTTTTTGTGAGTGGCCTCTTTCAGTTAGCATAAAGTCCTCAAGGCTCATTCAAATGGTAGCATATGTCAGAATTTCCTTCAATTTTAGGGGTGAATAACGCCCCCCCTTGCCACAGTCCGGCTGGCTGGGCAAAATAACCGGGGGGTGACGAAGAACTTGTGTAGATTGATACAGCAGGAGTAGGAGCCGTTTATTGCAGGACAGGAGCAGTATTTATGCATTCCACACAGCTTATCTAATTAGCATAAACTAGATACATCAGTCAACCAATAAGGAATCTCCACACTTAATGGCTCGCTTTTGTTACTTCTCAAACCACTCCCTCTGGCATTTTGCCAGGCACCATCCAGACTTGTTTACGAACTCTAACATTCCCCTGGCAAAATGCCAGGTGTTATTTTGACTTGTTTACAGACTCTAACACCCCCTTCGCTCTTCATATACACAGTTTGTGTAGCCAGTCCTCCATTGATGGGCACGTTCACTGTCTGGCTACTGTGAATAATGTTGCCATGACCTGGGAGTACAAACACCTCTGTGAGACCTTGCTTCCAATTCTTTGGGGCATATACCTAGAAGAGGGATTGCTGGATCATATGCTAGTTCTCTTTTTAACTTTTTGTGGGGGCAACTTCCATACCGCGTTCTGGAATGACTGCAACATTCTGCATTCTTGCACAGTGTTCCAGTTCCTCTACATTCTCACTAAGACTTGCTATTTTCTGTCTTCCCGAGAGCAGCCATCCTTAAGAGCGTGAGATAGTAACTCATCAAGGCTTGGACTTGCATTTCCCTCATGATTAGTGTTGAGCTTCTTCATGTGTCACTTTTGGTTGTTTGTATAACTTTTTAGAGAAATACCTATTCAAGTCCTTTGTCCATTTATAATCTAGCTGCTAGGTTTTTTTATTGTTCGGTAATTGGGGTTATTTATATATTCTGAATATTAACCCATTATCAGATATGTGATCTTCAAATGTTTTCTCCCATTTAAAAAATTTTTATACGATATTTTTAACTGGTTTCTTCTGGTTATACATAACATTAGGATTCATTTTCACATAGCTAAAAAAGCATGGAATATAAATTGTTCTAGTTCAGTCCTCGGTGCTTCCCCTTTCCCTCCCCTCCTCCCTCCCCTGTTCCTTACCTCTACTCTACTGAGCTTTCTGCTCTTACAGTTATTTTTTTTAGTTAGTGTCTTGTGGATGGACATATATGTCTGTGGTATGTTCATATATGTGCATAAGAGAGTGAAGTCAGGGGCCAGGGTTGTGGCTCAGTGGTAAAGCGCTTGCCTAGCATGCATGAGGCACTGGGTTTGATACCCTGTACCACATAAAGATAAACAAATAAAATAAAGGTATTGTGTCCATCTACAACTGAAAAAAGAGAGATTGAGGTCAGACTCATTTCACTACCTTTCCCTATTCCATCCCTCCTCCCTCCCCCTTAACCCTCTTCCTTTACTTCACTGATCTTTCTTTTATTTTGGTGGATCCCCCCATTTCTTTTCTGTTTTCCTTTTCTTCTTTTGAACTAGCTTCCACATATCAGAGCTATCTTCTCCCCTTCGGGGGTTGCCTTTCCACTCTGTATACTGTCTGTTCAATGCATGGAACTTTGAAATTTTGTTGTAGTCTGTCCTACTTCTCCATATTTGCTTTTGTTGCTGTGTCTTTGGTGTCATCTTTAAGAAATCATCACCAAATCCAATGCCACGAGCTGAATCCAGTGCTTTTATCCTCAAGCATGGGGGACAGGTTTGCTCAGGCAAGAGAAATGACAAATTTCAGAGCACACTGGATTATAATTTCATTCTTCTTTATGGCAGAGTAATATCCCATTGTGTATATGTACCACATTTTCTTTATCCATTCATCTGTTGAAGGGCACCTAGGTTGGTCTGATAGCTTAGCTACTGTGAATTGAGCTGCTGTAAACACTGATGTATCTGCATCATTATAGTATGCTGATTTTAAGTCCTTTGAGTACATGCTGAGGAGTGAGATAATTGGGTCAAATGGTGGTTCCATTCCAAGCTTTCTGAGGAATCTCCGTGCTGCTTTCTATAGTGGTTGCACCAATTTGCAGTCCCACCAGCGATGTATGTGTATACCTCCCCCCTACATCCTCACCAGCATTCTTTGTTACTTGTATTCTTGATAATTGCCATTCTGACTGGAGTGAGATGAACTATCTGTAGTTTTAGTTTGCATTTCTCTAACTGCTAGAGATGATGAACATTTTTTCATATATTTGTTGACTGTATTTCTTCTTCTGTGAAGTGCCTTCTTTTCTTTCGCCCATTTATTGATTGGGTTATTTATTTATTTATTTATTTATGGTGTTAAATTCCTTGGGTTCCTTATATATCCGGAGATGAATGCTTTATCTGAGGTGCACGTGGCAAAGATTTTCTCCCATTCTATAGGTTCTCTCTTCATGCTCTTGATCGTTTCCTTAGGCAAGAGGTTTTTGAGGACTCAGAAATTATCTCAGAGCTGCTGGATGTGGGCTGATCTTCTGTAGAATGTGCAGGTTCTCAGCAACTCAGGCCTGTGGAGTTCATCCTTTCCTGTCCAGGTATGTTTAAGATGAAAGTGAAAGATATGCAACCATGGGCTGGGACTATGGCTCAGTGGCAGTGCGCTTGCCTCCCATGGGTGAGGCACTGGGTTCGATCCTCAGCACCACATAAAAATAAACTAAAAAAATCAAGGCATGCTGTCCATCTACAACTGCCAAATAAATTAATAAATAATAGTAATAATAAAAGATATGCAACAAAAAGAGCAAAAGAAGCAGAAGGTATCTGAGGTTAAGATCATCCGGGCTGGGGATGTGGCTCAAGCGGTAGCGCGCTCGCCTGGCATGCGTGCGGCCCGGTTCGATCCTCAGCACCACATACAAATAAAGATGTTATGTCCGCCGAAAACTAAAAAAATAAAATATTAAAATTCTCTCTTTCTCTCTTAAAAAAAAAGATCATCCAAAAATGGTTAAAAATTAAAAAAAGAAGAAAAGAATGAAAGAAAGCTAAAGTAGTTATTAGTCAGACTTGAGGTCTTTAAGAAATTTTCTGACGAATTTCCCCATAAAAGGCTTTCCTGTGGAGATCACAGACTGTCTTTCTTCTGGAAATGGGGCTTGGCAGAACTTGGCTGTGCACTGCTCTCCTTTGCCTGGTTCTTCATCTTGTGCTCTGATGATGTGCTTTTTTTCTGCAGGGGGCCCAGGGAAGAGCCCAGAACAGCTGCATCCCAGCAGCGTCTACAGAGCACGTCCCACTCTCTGAACAGTGAGCCTGCCCAGGCGTTTACAGCACAAGAATCTGCAGCATTTCTGGAGCAAGTCACCCCAGAGGGATGATGAGCCAACTGGAGAGTCCGCTGCATGAGGAAGTGTTTGAGTAATTAGGAGAAAATGGAGTAAGGAGCAGGTTGGGAACAAGGTCCTCCGCTGGTGGAAGGTTGAGAGCAGAGTCCAGCCCTCAGGGCAGGTGTAAGGGACAGTCAGTTGATGAGGAAGCCAGGGTGTAAGATTCGAGCCACAGGAGGATATACCAGAGTCCTCCCCCCTACCCCCTTCAGCCTCTCAATAGATCATTCATCAGACACTCAGATCTGTCTAAATGACATATTGTTGTCACATGAAGCAATGGACAAGGGGCCCCACCTGATCACCTTTGTTTAATTTGAGATTGAATTTGAGAGAGACTGAAATGGAGACTTATGTCTGAAGAACATTTGAAGAATAAAGTAACATTTGATGGACAGAGAACAGAGATTTAATTTAAGATTAATGAATGCTTCGGGGCTGGGGATATAATGTAGTGGTAGGGCACTTGCCTAGTATGTGCAAGGTCCTGGGTTCATTTTTCAGCATAGGAAAAAGAAGAGAGTGAGGCAGGGCGGTGGGGGTGGGAGAGAGAATAATGCATGCTTTAAAATAACACAGATTGGTGCAACCACTTTGGAAAACAGTAAGAAGATTCCTCAAAAAACTAGGAATGGAACCACCATTGGATTCAACTCTCCTACTTCTTGGTTTATATCCAAAAGATTGAAAATCAGCACACTACAGTGATGCACCCACATCAATGTTTATAGCAGTTCAATTCACAATAGCTAAGCTATGGAACCAACCTAGATGCCCTTCAACAGATGAACAAGTAAAGAAATTATGGTGCACATACATCATGAAGTATTACTTAGCCATAAAAAAGAATGACTTTATGACATTTGCAAGTAAATGGATGGACCTGGAGACTATCATGCAAAATGAAATAAGTCAGTCCCAAGAAACCAAAGATTGAATGTTTTTGCTGAAATGTGGAAGCTAACCTACAGTAAGTGGGTGTGGGGAGAGGGAAAGAATAGATATTCAGTAGATTAAACAAAGGGGAATGAAGGAAGGGAGGGGAATAGGAAAAGAAAAAACAGTGGAATGAATCTGAAATAATTTTTTCCTGTGTACATATATGAATACACCACAGTGAATCTCACCATCATTACATCCATAAGAATGGGGTCCTAATTAAAATAAGATATACTCCATGCTTGTACAATTATATCAAAATGAATTCTAGTATCTTGTATAACTAAAAAGAACCAATTAAAAATAGGATTCTCTTCTGCCTTCATTCAATCTAATAAATTCTAATGCAGAGGTATTATGAAAATTAAAAAAAAAAGGAGATTGAAAGAAGAATGACACAAATGTGCAGACAATGTCTGTAAATCAGAAAATATTAACAAGAGATACTGACATCTAGTTATTTCCTACTGAAAAATTTGAGTTTCAGGGACAAAATTATCCTCAAACCATCTGGACAGAGTATTATCTGCAAAGAGACCAAAACATGTAGCTTTCTTGGACATCACTTACAAAATAAATATTAGACGTGAAGGAAGCTACATGCAAAATTTTGAGGAGAAAGGAAGTAATATAAAAATATCACAGAGCTAAGATGCTGTTGATGTGTGATGGCTTCCAAAAGACTTTCTACATATGTACAGAATTCAGGAAGTGGATCACTTAGTTATCCTAATTGAACAACTGAGTGAAAGCATGCTCTAGTTAAATGAGAAATAAGTCAAAACACAGAGATAAAAAACAGACAAATTATGGGAAAAAGATGAGCATTAAAACCAACAAAATACAGAATTAAGTCTAGTTAAGTGTCATAGATGCTAGTGAGAAAAGGACCAGGTCAAAATTCAGGCTTGGGGCTGGGCATGGCGGCACATGCCTGTAATCCTAGGGACCTTGGAGGCCGAGGCAGCAGGATTTCGAGTTCAAAGCCAACCTCAGCTACCTAGCAGGCCCTAAACAACATAGCAAGACTCTGTCTCAAAATTAGAAAACAAACAAACAGACAAGACAAACACACATACAAAATACGGGCTGGGGATGTGGTTCAGTTGTGAAGCATTCCTGGGTTCAATCCCTGGTACCAAAAAATAAAATCTTTTTGGCTGGGGATACAGCTCAGTTGGTGGAGTGCTTGCCTAGCATGCACAAGACCCTGGGTTCAATCCCCAGCATCACCACCACCACCACCACCAACAACAACAACAAAAAAAAAAAAAAAAGAAAAGAAAGAAAAATACCTTTTTTACAAAAAGCCAGGCTTGGTGGCACATGCCTGTAATCCCATCAACTCTGAGGGCAAAAGCAGGAGGCTCTCAAGTCCAAGGCCAGCCTCAGCAACCTAGTGAGGCCCTGTCTCAAAATAAAAAAATAAAAAGGGCTGGGGGCATAGCTCAATGGTAAGAGTGCCTATGAGTTCAATCCTCAGTACAGAAAAAGAGAAAGAAAACTTACATTCAGGATTTCACAAAGTGCAATTTACAGGGGAACTTTCTGACAAAAATGTGGTCCAGATAGCAGCAAGATCAAGTGGATCCCCCTGACTTGGATCAGAAGGAGAGACATATATACTTCAAAAATAAGAGCTGTAGTGTACAGAGCGCTGACTTCAGTCATTTCATAGTGTGACCTACATATGGGTCAAGCTGTAATAAACCTGGCTTATCTCAAGCTAATATTAGGCACCTTCCTGATGCCAGTGGCTGGTCTCAAAGTGTCACATCCCACTTGAATGGACCCCACACACCACTTGAAGGGACATTTTTATTTATAGAAAGCTGGGAAAACTGACCAGAGTTACTCAGGAGCAATCAGAGATTATGACTCAAGATGACTGTGGTCAGGTAAAGCTTGTGTACCTACAGAGTGCTAATTAAATCCAAAATAGAATCTATAACTTCCAAACTGCTTTGAAGACAAAAAAGTCTAGTGAGAGATTGTACTGGGGTCTTTTTTTTTTCCACTTCCTGCTGTTGCTAAGTTTTTTTCCTTCCAGAGACGTTCTCTACATAATTAAAAGCTGGTCATGAGTGGCTTACTGAGCCCCTCTACACCTGAAGCATCGCTTTTAAACTTAACGGGGCCATTGACAGTCTGCGAAGCCTTCAGATGTCTTCTCAGGATCATAAGTCATAAATTATCAAATAAATAAAATAAACCTCATGGATTATGGAGAAAACAAAATTATATTGAAATACAGTTATTCAAATTAAAAATGGTGATTAAGTTAAATAAAATGTAGCAGCAAAGTCTAATAATGAATGTAAATGTTCATTACATAATTATCAATTGTGTCATCATTTTTAATATGATAAGAGTGAATGATATTTCAGTTATCATCAGCAACTGAAATCAGATAGGAAATAATTTCATCGCCATTCATGACAGTCAGAGGTAATATAAACTTACTGTAGTTTGGTGCATATATTAATAATTGAAAGAAATGCTAAAGTATGGGCAGAAGTTAATGAACACAAAGATGCAATTTTTTTTTCCTCTTCAATTTCAGAGATTCCCTGAATTTAAATGAACGCCTGGGAAGTCTGTGAACCCAGATCAAAAGTCTCTTACTATAAAGCTCCATTTCTCCTCAGCAAAATTTCTTTTCATCAAAACATGACTTCCAAAACTTGCCCCCATGAGGTTGAACACTCCTTCCAATATTGTAGAGGGGGCCTGATTTTCTATCTCTTCTCAATAGCAGATCCGACCAAATGCAGTCACCCTTTATCAGTCTAAAAGAAAGGAGAAATAAAAGATAATCCCATTATAGTTTTATTTTGCCTTTCCATTATTCTCATTCTGGTTCCTTTGTTTCCAATAATTTCTTTTTTTTTTTTAATTATTTTTTTAGGTGTAGTACCTTTATTTTATTTATTTTTATGTGGTACTGAGGATTGAACCCAGGGCCTCACATGTGCTAGGTGAGCACTCTACCACTGAATTACAGCCCCCCAATAATTTCTTTTCTTTTCTTTTTAATTTTTAAAATTTATTTTTTAGGTATAGATGGACACAACACAATGCCTTTATTTTTATGTGGTGCTGAGGATCGAACCTGGGTCCCGCTGAGCCACAATCCAAGCCTCCAATAATTTTGTAATCACAGAAAAACATTATTACAACATGTGTCATTGAAAGCTCTCACATTCCACAGATACTAAGTTTTTTTATGCACTAAATACATTTTCATAAAAATGTCTTTAAAAAACCCAGAAAACCAAAAGAATACTTCATATTAATTTCATGCATTTGTTTCTTTTGTAAATATTCATCTTTGCTCAGTGATTACTGAATACTCTTGTCTGCATGCAAAACAAAAGCAAAACAAAACAATCAAAACAAAACAAAAAACAACCTCTCCCAAGGCTTCTACACAGAAAATGACACACATTACTCCTGAATGCATTTCATTGGCCGAATTGAGTCTCTCAGCCACTCCCAACTTCTAAAGAGCCAGGAAAGTGCAATCTTATGAGAGCAGAGAAAGGGAACTACAACTATATGTTAGAAATGTCTGCAGCCTACCAACGTCTGGCCTCTAATCCTTGAGCGTTGATTCCTACTCTTGCCTGCATGAAGACATACAAAACCCCACCCCAGGGTGACAACCTGAAAGTCTCACCCAGTTGCTATCCAGCCCCAACATGCCAGATTTGCCATCCCCTCCCCATCCCCAGTCTCCAATCAGAAAGCTTGGTAGTTGCAAGATGGGAACAGTGACCCCAAGCCATAATTTCATGCATTTCCATTTTCTGCATTAGCATACCTTTCCACTCCCCAACGGACTCATTATCAAAACCTCCTCTTTAGTCCCTGGGTTTTCAGGGCTGTCAGTCCTTGGTTAGAGATGCCTGTGGCACAAGGAGCTCATCTTTAAGGAAGGACAGTTTACTTTCTTGCCGTGCCCACTTTGAGACCTCTTCCTTGGACAGGATGTCACCTCTCCTTGTAATTCTCTCATGTCTGACATCACAGCTTTTCAGAATTTACTTGTAACAAGTGATAGGAAAGACCTATTAGGTACTATGTAGTAGGTTAAGGTCACTTGATACTTTGACAATTTAAGCTAGGAGGTGCTCAGCATCTTTCAACAGTCTGATGGGGGGGGTGCGGGTGGGGCGGGGGAGCCTGTCTACCAGCCATGGCTTCCTCTGCTGCCCTCTGCTGGCTGACCAGAGTCCTCAACGTCCAGCAAGGGACTGCCTCTGACCCTCTGCAAGCCCTCTGACCCTGAAGGTTTGAAGGGCTTTCTATAAAGACTGGTTTAAAAATACACTGTGATTTGTATGAATTTTAGAGTGACCATTTTTTCCTACTTAAGATGTAGCCAAAGAGAATAGCAGCAAAGAAAAAGAGCTGTGGATGTTGAAGTTACTTCTAAGTCAGGGTCATATCATGGAAATATTCCTCACCCCCAGAGTAGGGGGCGCATGCAATGCCTGCCCTAGGTAGAACCAGCGCTTCCACATCTGCAACTTCCCCCTTCTTAATTAGAAGCTTTTATTGTGGTTATTTTGTTCTTCTATATACATTAGGTTTGTGAGAGCAAATAGCTTGTTTTTCTCAGTTCATGGGAAGGCCAAGGGAAACCATATAAAGACTTGAAAGAAACTTTCTAAGGTGTCCAAGATTAGAGAGGCTAATCAGTCACGGCTCTCCAGAGAGACAGAACCAATGGATAGATCTTTGTCTATATATAGATATAAAATATAAATATGTAATTATATACAGTTTAAATATGTGTGTGTGTGTGTGTGTGTGTGTGTTTAAGTAACTGGCTTATATAATTGGAGGGTTAGTGAGTCTGGCATGCTAAGATCAACCAGCAGGCTATATCAACTCAGAAATTAACCATACAGTTTTGAAGCAGAACCTCTTACTTTCTAGGAAACCTTTTTTTTTTTCCTCTTAAGGCCTTTGGTTGATTGAATGAGAGCCCCAACCACATTATCAAGGATGTGGGTAACATCTACAGCTAGTAACAACATCTGTAAAGTATTCTCAAAGTAACAGCTGAATTAGTGTCTGATTAAGTAACAGGTCATGATAGCCTAGTCAAATTGGCAGAAAGCTCCTCATCTCAAGTAGCAACTGGGTGAGACTTTCCGGTTGTCACCCCTGGGCTGGGGTTGTGTGTGGTCCTCATGCAGGCAAGAATGGGGATCAATATCTGATAACCAGAAGGCAGACTTTAGTAGACTCCAAACATTGCTAACAGTTCTCCTTCTCTGCTATGATGGGATTGCACCTTCCTCCCTCTTTTAAAGTAGGGTGTGGTTGTATGACTCACATTGGCCCACAAAACACCTTCAGGAGGAATGTGTGCCACTTGCAGGTAGAAGCCTTCAGGATCCTGCGTGACGCCTGTGGGGGCCAGCTGCATGTGAAACCCGCCCAGTTTGGGGAGACTTAGGATAGACTCTCCATCTAAACCTCAAAGGTCATTAAGTGAGAGATCCTGTTTGTCATTTGGAGACACTAGGATTTTGGTTACTGCAACACAGTCCAGATGTTCTGATGCAGACACCTTCCATGATGACTTTCTATTGCCTCCCTCAGCTTCAGGATTCCAATATCACTTGTAGCCCTTTCGAGATTTGCCCCCTGGGTAGCTGCCAGCCTCCCCTCTCACCATTCTCTTCTCTTTGTTTGTGCTCCAAGTTATTGCACTTTGTTCTTTTTTCATATCCTGAATGTTCTTTTGCCTCAGGCCAAAAAGAATACTTCCTGTTCCCTTTGCTTTCAGTATTCTCTCCTTGTTCCTTTCTCTGACTTCAAGACCTTAGTGCAGTTCCATCCATTTTCCCACAAATGACATGATTTTGTTCTTTTTTTATGGCTCAATAATACTCCACGGTGTATACGTACCACTTTTCTTTTTTTGTATCTGTAATGGACAGAATGCCTTTATTTTATCTGTTTATTTTTATGTGGTGCTGAGGATCAAAGCCAGTGCTTCACACATGCTAGGAAGGCGCTCTGCCACTAAGCTACAGCCCTAGTTCCGTAGCACGTTTTATTTATCCATTTGCCTATTGATGGGCACTTAGACTGATTCTTTAAGTTGGCTATTGTGAATTGTGCTTCGACGAACAAGGGTATGCAGGTGTCTCTATAGTGTGCTGACTTTAGTCCTGTCATATACATGGAAAAGTGGTATAGCTGAATCATACAGTAGTTCTACTTTTAGGTTTCTGAGAAACCTCAGGACTGATTTCCATGGGGGCTTTGATAATTTACACTATTCCCAGAATGCAGGAAATTAACAAGAGGTCCTCGACTTACCAGGGATCGTGGAGGGAAAGTGCTGGGCCTACC